CCCGCCTCCCTAAAGCACATAACAGTCCCCCAACATTCTTTTCCTTCCACAACCTCCAAGATTCTCATCCTCCAATTTCCTGCCTCACCCCATTTTTATATCTTCCATCTCACCTCAAACCCCCCCGAGGTCTCTCTCACTCCATCCTGAATCCTCCGTGCCATTCCGTTTTCCCTCACTTTTTGCGGACCTCAAAGCCAGACTTCTATTTCGGACCCATCTCTACCGTACCCTGGCGTCAGACCAAGTGCCATCAGCCCATACGTGAAAGACCGTGTGTACACCAACTGCATCTGCACCGCAAAACGGTGGACGAGAAGGAGAAAGAATGAGAAGAACGGAGTGGAAACATACGAATGTTCATACGTACAACAATTTTCCAAAAAAATATTCTCTCTCTCTCTCTCTCTCTCTCTCTCTCCATCGTCCACCTCACCTTCGGACATTTCTCTTACCTCTCTCACGAGTAAAACCACCTATCCCTCTTTGTCTTTTGGGAGAGAATCCCTGCATCGCTGGTAAGAGGCTCTGTGCTTCACCATTATTGTTGTATAAATCATGAACATGACCGTTGCTATAGTCCTCCCAAGCACCAGCAAACCTCGGTCTTATCCCACAGCTGGAATTTCAAATCGCATGATACTACCTACACCCCAACATTTCTTCCTTGCTTCTCTCTTGGTCTCTGCTTTTTATGTACTTTATCGTTTTTCATTTAGTTTATCTATTCGGCTGAATTTATTCCTCATGCACTTTCAGATTTATCCAATTGAGAACAGTAAACATGTGACAGTTAGTTATGATTTTTTGTTACTGGTGGTGGCGCATTTGTTGTCGATACTTTTTCACATTTTTCTAATCTTTAATAGTTTTCTGTCGTGGATTGAAAAACATTGAAGTTTCAGGAGTTGTTGAACGTAATTTTCAGGAGAGCGATATGGAAATCGATTTAGGGACGCGAAAATCAGGAAATTTCAAATTTCATTGATCACTCCCCCATGTTAATGTTAACCCATCGAAATTGACGTTTTGCGTTGAGAAAAATTTGCTAGAAACAATTTATTTGCTAACAGCATAAACGAATCACAATTTGTCCAGTTGTGCAGATTGTGACTTGTTTACGGTGCTTAGCACATGAATTGTTTTAGCAAATTTTTCTCCGTGTGCTCTCTACTTGAATGAGAGGAGGATATAGCCAATCAAAAGAATAGAACAGAATTTGACAATTGTCAAGTTTTCAATGAATATCTCGAAATCTAAGGCAGATACCAAAATTTTTATTATTCCATTTTTTATAGCTCTTAATTTATTCTGCAAAAAAGGTCTTCACCAAAATTTCTCTATTTCTCTTAGATTCTGCGATATTCCTCGAAAATGCCACTAAAAGCCAACGCGACTTCAGAATTAAATTTATAAATCATGAACGTTTCTCATTTTCTATTTTCATTTCTGTAATTTTTACAACTGTCCGAAGATAATAACTGGAAATGCCAATATTTTCTAAAAAAAAAACAATCATTTTACGAAAAAGAAAAATGGTGTATTTTTATGATGAGTCAAGAAAAAGTATTTCGGGTTTATTTGCATTGGAAAGGTTTACGAGGCTGGAAACTGTTATTTCCATGGTTCTCAGTGAATTGACTCTGGTCAGAATGGCGTTTGGAATATATACAGGGAGGAAATGAGTGCCAGCCGATAGCCGGATATCTAATATCCGAGCGTTCGTCTCTGGCTCGAATAGCCGAAAAATACGAGGATCGGATAAGCCATGGACCTGTTTGCCAGCCACGTTTGTTGCTGGCTCACACTCTTTCTTCTCCTCCTACTCCACCCCGTGTGTCTATCGTTCATTTTTTTCTCCAACACGAAAAAGTAGACTAAATAAAAATAACCGAGGAGGCTTCGATAGTACTGCTGCCATTACTCCCTGTATCGGTGGGGGAGGGGGAGGGACCTAGGTTGGAAAATGACATTTCCATTTTTACCAATCTCCAAATTGAACGGAATTCATGCACGCGAAGGAACTGGCGATGCTGACGGGTGGTTTATTCAAGTTTTGTTTACGTTTTATTTAGGTCATTTTGCTTCCGCAGGAGAGTTTTTTACACAGAAAAAATTCGTGATTCAAGTAGTTTCAAGTTTGATTGTACACAGAAGAAACAAATGTTTCATTTTTGGGGATATTTCACTACAATGAATGCAAAATTCTGAAAAACAGTCATTTTCAGGTACACTGTTAGAATTTTTTGGAAATTTCATGGAAGATATTATAGTAAATCTCATGACAGTGACATTGAATCGGATTTAGGGAAAAATGGTTATGAAATTTCAAGTTTTAAGTAGAATTTACGGAAATTCATGAGTTTTTAGTGGGAGTGAGATGAAAATTTCACAACTTGATTGAATTTTCAGTGGAACATGAATATTCAGAAACAAAATGACATGAATTTTCAATTTTTCCCTGAATTTTTTGGATTTATCTGAATTTTCACAGACTAATTGAACTGAAAAATCAAGTATTTTATCGCTTTCCAGATCATTTGAACAGAAAATCAATAGACTATTAGATTTTTCAATGACAACATTTCCGGACATTTCAGTGGAACTTGAACACGATAAAAATTTCCGAAATTTGGCGCAGAAAATTCAGACCAAAATTTTCAACAGTGGTTTTGTAACAAATAATATTTCCACTTACATTTCAAGGAATTTTGTCATTGAAAATTGATAATTTCATGGAAAAATCCGTGGGAGCTGTGAACATCAGTTTTATTCTTCTGGTGACTAATTAAACTGATAAATAATGCAATTATTAATTTGTTTTTTATGGGCGGGTCACGTTTGTTGTGTTGTAGGTGTCATGGATGAGGAGTAAAGACCTGCATATTCTCACTTCGAGCGAGTTCACGTTCAGCTCGGACTCGAGGTTCACACCTGAACATGTGCCGGAGAGCGATGCCTGGACACTGAGGCTCGAGGAGGCCAAGACGACGGATTCTGGGAGCTACGAGTGCCAGGTCAATACTGAGCCGAAGATTATGTATAAAGTTGCGCTGACGGTGAGAGGTACGATGGTGATTATGATTTTAGACGATTATATTATGATTTTGGATTAAAAAAAAATACTGTTGAATTTTTTTAAATTTCTGTGACAGCTCCAAAAAATTTATAATTTCATCAAATTGAATTTAACTCGAGAGCAACTCTTTCATGGAATTTTTTCGTTCCTCTCACGAATTTAACACAATTGACTTGAACATTCCATTGAATTGAATTTTCAATAGATTGAGAATTCAGAATGAGATTCGCCTGAATTTTTCCAGTTTGCGGTCATTTTTGCTGAACGGAAAAATCTGGAGATTTCAGAAAAAATTACAGATTTGAAGAAAATCATGGGGCTGATCTGAGATTCCTAGAATAAGGAATTTTTCACTTATCGAATGAATAAAGTTCAAGAAAATGAACTACATGTGAATTAAAGTAGCTTTACCCTTACGACTCAAGTCATTGAGTGCTTTTCTGAAGAAGTAATTCTAATAATTAGTATTTTAATGTTTGAATTATTAAATTATAGAGGTCATGAGCATAAGAATTATTTCATTTTTCAACTTTTAAAACTAAAAGTCAGGTGGCTGTAGTGGTCGCGCGGGGAGTGTGTGGCTCCGGCGGTCATCCAGGCTAAGCAGCGTTCAGTCTGCCCGGTACTTGGATGGGTGTCCGCTTGGGCACACCTAACCGCGTGGGACTACAGTCGCTAGGCACGAATGTAGAGAACCACTGTGCCCATTGNAAAAAAAAAAAAAAAAAAAAAAAAAAAAAAAAAAAAAAAAAAAAAAAAAAAAAAAAAAAAAAAAAAAAAAAAAAAAAAAAAAAAAAAAAAAAAAAAAAAAAAAAAAAAAAAAAAAAAAAAAAAAAAAAAAAAAAAAAAAAAAAGTCTGAATGAACAGTTTTTCAATTGACTAATTGGGAATTTCTTAATTAAAAAAAAAAACAGAAAATCATGAAGATTCGATTCGTAATATTTTTATTTATTACAAATGATTTTTCATTTAGTCACAAACGAATCTTGACATTGACGTAGATAGGGGTTCATAAGAGTAATTCAGCCGTCGTCTCCTGGACTTTTCAACCTGATCAATTTGAAGACTTTCGCAGAATAATATATGCATGATCAAACAATATTTCCATTAGCTATTGGTAACTACATTATTAATTTTAATCACCTTCCAGTGACCCATTTCCACTCCACTCCACTCGAAACTTTCAAATTAGTGTAACGTTGACACGCAATCGTTAGACTTTAATTGAAAACACAAAGCAAACACGATGATGAACGATGAGATTGAGTCCAACTAATCGTGTGATTGTTCCCTAACTTTCGTGGGACGTATTTGCACCGGTTAATTATTCATTACCCAACTTAAAATTACCTTGTTTCCCTTTCTACCGTATACGATATCAAACCAGAAGCCATCCAACACTCCTAAAAATATCATCCCCCCGATAATTCTCCTCTGAAATCGACGTCACATTTTCATAATCTCGTACCATCTCAAATCAATTTTTTTTCCCCAAACTTTTTTTCTTATCACAACATCAGCGGCCTCTTACTTTCCACGTCATCAATTCCAAGCTCGGTTCCTCAGTATGATCGATCGTGGTAATTCTTCATCCTCACCTTCACAATTCTCGGTGTTTCAGATCCTGATAAGCCGGAGGGAGACGACGCCCCGTACTCCCAGCAGACGCGAATAAGTAAGTCGAACAAAAATTGGGGTCGGCTGGTGGTTTGACTTCCGAACTTGGGGGGTTTGCGAGGATTGGGACGGATGTGACCCTTATGCGTAATGTAACAATGGCTTCTGGATTGACAGTTGGATAATCTTTTGTCCTGGAATGCTTTTTCATTCGGGATGTGGTTCATTAACGGAACACTATTGGGAATTTTTATTTGAACATTTATTTCAACGGAACATTTCCATTGAAAGTTGCCATACGAGGAAATGGAAATAACCGAAAATCTTTGAGATAATTCTACCCAAATTCCTCCGTATAAAGTCAAATACTGCCCTTCCAATGGTTGACATACCATTAAAATACGATTTTTTGGCTGAAGTTATCGGTACAATTTTAGGTCATTTTTGTCACGTTTTAGTTCTACTGAAATTTCGAGGAATTTCGTCATTGAAAATTGACAATTTCACGGAAAAGTCAATGAGAAAAGGCAATGAGAATGAGTCGTTTTTTCCCGGAAATTAGCAGAAATCAGCAAAATTTAGATAAATATGCTCTTGAAATTCCAATTCATTGAAATTGTCATGTATTTTGTTATTGAAAAATCAGTAGAATTCGGGAGTATTCAATGGACTTGCATTTTCAGCTCCACACGATAACGAATATTATTGAATAATTTGAAAATTCAAGCAACAATTTCCCTGAATTTTCAATCCACTGAAAATTTAGTGGGATGTGATGTTCAATTTCCGCCATGAATTTGAAAATTCTAGACGTCATTGAAATATCAGTGATAATCTAACATGGAAAGCCCAATCATTCTGAATATCTAACCTGAATGAGAGATTCCATGAACAATTTGATCTTGAATTGAATTCAAATTCACAACATTGAGAATTCAAGTGCAACTATTACTAAATAAAACTATTCCTATTATTAGTTTTCAAAAAAATTCTAATAGTATGTGGATTATTCACGCTCCAAAAAGTGCCACAAAGATGTCTTCACTTCATCCACAGAAGATGTCTAAATTTCAGACCTACTTTTACAAAATCATTCCGTTATTTTTTAATTAAGAGCAACATCCTTATAACTCGATTTTCTCCAATCGCAGAGAAAAGAGTACAAAAGATTACGTAAAGAAACCTGAGATGGGAATAATCGCTCGCACCCGTGGTCTTTATTCGGCCACTCGAATCGCCATACCATCGATCACTTCCTCGGTCATGAGGCAGTGAGACGCCTAGTGGCGAGAGTACATCCCACGTCTGTCCTTGACGCGTAGTGTGGCTCGTCCATTTCTCCGGTGTCGTCGGCATCTCCCAACTATTCCAGCACAAATACTAATGCACTATTACCAACCCCGCTCCCCACCCCCCTCCGACGCCGCTCCGGTCCTCCTAAAACCGATGAAGGACAGCCGAAGAAGGCTGACTCTACAGCTATCTTCTCCCCTAGATGAAATCCAGCCGTTTCTTCTCTCGTTGTATGGCGTGGGGGATTCTAACGAGGGTTAAATCACCGCCGCCGTTTCTCGTTACGGAGAAATTTATTCTCGGGACCTAAATACTCACGTAATTCCAGGTTTTTCCACCTATTGTCAACGGAATTCGCCCGGTAATTTCTCTAAATGAGTCAGTAACTTCAGAGAAAAAGAGCAATTGGTTGTTGAATTATTTTTGACAAACATTTTTGGAGGGAAATGAGGAAAATTTTTGGAGAGAAGTGAACATTGAATTATTTGTTATGTTGTTTATTTCCCTGGGTTGAGCTGTATCGGGGCAAAAATCCGAACGAAATAGTGAAGTCTGCGATTTCAGCACTAATTACATGACAGAGGGAATTTTCTGTTTTCTCAATAAAAAATTCACTGCCTGTCATTCCAAAATTTTTGAGCAGTAGGAAGACGAGTACCGATACACTGTTAGAATTTTTTTTGAAAATTAAGCAATAGTTGCACTTGAATTCTCAATGTTGTGAATTTGAATTCAATTTAAGATCAAATCTTTCATGGAATTATCTCTCATTCAAGCTAGAAACTCTGGATAATTGGGTTTTTCAGGTTAAATTATCACTGATATTTCAATGACACCTAGAATTTTCAAATTCATTGTGGAAATCGAACATCACATCCAACTGAAATTACATTGGAAATCCAGGGAAGTTGTTGCTTGAATTTTGAAATTATTTAATAATTTTCATTATCATATGAACCTGAAAATCACAATTCCATTGAATACTCCAGAATTCAACTGATTTTTTAATAACAAAATGCATGAAAATTTCGTGCGAATGAACGATTGTTAAAAATTTCAAGATTCTTTACTTGAAATTTCCGGAGCAATTTTCCAACAGTGAATGCGGTACCAAATTAGACTGAAGTTTCATTGAATTTAAGCTTCACGAATATATTTACCTAATAATTTCCCTATAATTAACAATTTCCACTGATTTTGACATCAAATTGCGAATTTTCAATTACCAAATTCCTTGAAATTTCAGTGTAACCGCCACTTAATAAAAATTTCTCCGAAGCATACCATAAATTTCAGCCAAAAGTTTTGAATAGTACCTAATAAATTGTAATTTCTATCCGTGTTTGACCCCTTGAGAAACAAAAATCCAATATCGTTCGACATATCCCTTACAACCCATCATTTCCGTCCACTCCAAATTACTTCATTCACTCTATCCCACCCCAACTTGGAGAGGGAATATCCAAGTACTTTCATCCCATCCGAGAAGAGAAAAATTACATTTTAATTATCCCACAGTTCTTCATTCTCATCTGTCGCAATATATATTAAAGTAGATATAGAGATAGTCCACATGACAGAAGTAAAAAATACTTTAATTATCATACATCCTCTGAACTCCATCATTCTCAAATACAAACACATCCAACACCGTTAATAAAACTTGTCGCATAAGCCGGTTCTCGTTTTCTTTCACCTTTGCTACGGTGGTTTTTCGATTAAACTCAAAGTTAAATGCAACACAGCGACAGTTGGGGAACGGAGGGAGAAGTGGATTGGTATGAGTCCGATGGCGGCGGCGGGGGGGGGGGAGGAGGGTGTGAAAACCCCCGAGGTACTCGAGACCTCCGCGTTAATACACAAGGTATCTATATCTATACCTCAACCAGCGGACGCAAGTAATAATGCATATAGTGATAATGGTATAACGTAATATTACGCCGCGGCGAAATGCAGTTCCCGGTGGATTAATTTAAGTCCAATAGGATTATCCTTAATCCTGGTAGTACTGTGCCACTTCTGGAGAATGCTTGAGCATTCTGAGGGGGAAGGGACACTTGAAAGAAAGGAGAGAAATTGAAAAAAATTGTTTAAAAGGAAATGAAAGAGTTCGTGGAGGTCAAACGGAGAATTATCAATTCACTAGAACTGTACATGCACTGTTGAGAATTTTTGGGTGGAATTGCCGATGTACTGCTGGCAATGTTTTTATCATGTTACAGTTGCAGTGAAAAATGCATAATATTATGAACTTTTAATTACGAAATCCTTCATTCGAGGGAAAAATCAATGGAAATACTGAATTATATTCAAAAAAAGTAATGGAAATCAGGATGATTCGGAAAAATATATTCATGAATTTCGAATTAATGGACAATTTAGCGTTTTTCGGTGCAGAATATTCAGGCTTGGGTTGCAACATGCAAATTCAAGAAGTTTGAGGGATTCCCGGCACTAAAACGAAATCTCATTGAGTTTTTAATGAAATTTTGAAATTTCATGAATTTTCTCACCTAAATCAAATTTTAGATCGCTCTCCTAAAAATTACTACTAAACTGTCCATGAAATCCCAATCACTTCTTGTACGGATTTTCATATTTCATATTTCTATTGACATTCCAGAAATTTCATTGAGAAATGGAAATTAATAAATATTTAGTTTTGAAACGGAACAAATATACTATTGCTAATAAAAATTGGCGTTTCATGAACAATCTGGTATAGTTTTAAAAATATTTATCTAGTCACAGTTCCATTGAAATTTCACTATTTTATTTCACTATTTTAATATCACATCAAAAAAACAAAACAATGAATCAATTAGATAAAACTGTTGTAATTTAACCTTTCAAGTATTTAATCCAATGAACAGAATCAACAAAAGGACAAGGAAATATTTTAAAAAAATAGAAAGTGGGAGATCCAAGGTAATAAACATAGAAAGATCCGTCAATTGTAAAATTCTTTGAAAATCATATTAATCGTCGAAGTGAATTAAATCCACTAAAAATAAGTTTTTATTTCAAAATAACAATAAATCAGTCTTTAGAATAACTTGAGTGAAATTATTTGTATCTCAGGAGTGTCGTTAACGCGATGCAACAATATTACATCATAATTCACAGGGAATTGACACTAATATGTCATCGATCCTCTTGACATGTGGTATAGGGTGAGATTGGTTCATCTGCCTTTGCGGAAATTCCCGCGGTTCTGGGATTAGTACTAGAATAATTAACCGCAAACCCACCCGCACTGCCTCCCTCCCCTCTGCCCGACCATAATTACGACTTAATGGAATTCGTTGGGGTCAACGATAGAGAGAGATAGGTAGAGCGCGAGAGGATGGGGTAGAGTCATTCGAGTTTATCCGGATGATTTGTGAATTCACTAATGAATATTTCAATATACACTGGGGAGTCACACCGATTCATTAAATCTATATTTATATTTCACTCCGTATTCGGTTTGAATATGGGATGAATGGGAGTAAAATCATCTTCGCATCAGAATTTATCATTTTCCGGCGGTTTGTTTGAAAATCTCAATGCGAAGGTTCATAATTTATATTAATTCAGAGTTAATGTTTGATGAATTATAATATTAATATCTACAGCCGCCATTTCAATATTGAATTCCATTCCGGGTGCATAAACGATCATTAATAAACATCAAAATCACTGGGAGAAAAAGTTTATTGGTTGAATACTCATTGAAAATAGATTAAATTATATGCACAATTCGACATAGTTAATTGCTGTTCAGAAGAAGATTATTAATATTTTCAAGGATTGGGGATTATTTAAAACGTAATAGGAGAGAAAATTTATTGAATTGTAATTTAGACTCGAGCGGGTTAGGTTCGTCGAAAATGATATTTCCAACTATTTTTATCGACACTATTAGATTTTTTTCAACGTAAATAAGTATTCCATTTACCACCAAATTAGATTTTTCATTCATCTTGAAAATTTTATAAAACTGAGTTTTTCATGTTAAGGGATTATTGATATTTCAATAGAAGCTTGAATTTCCAATTGTCACCATTTTTAATAATTTTCCAGAGATTTCAGAAATTATTTTGTTGTTTTCAACTGAAAATTATTTTGATTTGTCTGCAACAACAAAATTTCCAGTGCATTTTATCAAGTTCTCAGGAATTTTATCAAGTCGCAGTTCCTCTTGAATTTCAAGGAATTTTCTCACTATATTCTGGTTTAATTCGATACTGAATATTAATGTTTCAATTTCAATTTCATTGAATATTCCACAACTCAACTGATTTGTCAGTAACAAAATGTACAAAAATTCCATGTAAATTCGTCGTTTTCAAAAATTTCTAAAAAATTTACTTAAAATTTCAGCTTTAATTAACCTATAACATTTATTTTAGTGAGCTCGAGGTCAGAGGGAAATAATTCTCGATCGAAATTCATTTTCTCCACCAAAACTCTTCCTCAATGGATAAAATCGTATGCCCCATCGAAAAGTTTTTCTTTTCCTCCGTGTAATGATTGAATAGACCTCGTCTGTTCCATTAACCCGCAACACTAAAAATAGAAACCGTAACTCATATTTCAGGCTATGAGAGTACCGCCCCGGTGGCAGTAATAATGGGTCCAAGAGAGCAGCATGTGCCATCAGGCTCGACGATCACCCTTAGGTGTGTCATAACGTCGCCATATCAGACTCGTCCCATCAGGGGTGTGCAATGGCTTCGGGACAACAAACTCCTGACATTCCAGGTAATTGAAGTTCTCGAGATGATGAAGGATATCCACTTGAAAACAACTCCAACCCCCCTCTATCCCCATTCTTCCCCTTCTGCATTTTATTATTATCTCCCTGGGGCTATCAGCGAGAGTATCTTCCCAACAATATTGTCATTTTCTCCCGTATCACTGGCGTTTGCGTCGTCCTTGGTCCTTTTTACTCCGTCAATTTTGGTTACAGGCGGGCAGAGGTGGTATTATCATTGAAACGGAGAGAGATGCCGGTCGCACAGTGTCCGAAGCGACATTGGCAGCAGTGACGAGAGAGGACATGGGCAAATACACTTGCCGACCCACTGAGGGACGTGCTGACACAATTGTCCTCGTGGTAGAGCAAGGTCAGACCATTTCTATCATCAGGTCACCCTTATCAATGTCTCAGAGGAAATGGAAATGGAACATTTATTGTAACTCAATCGGAATCTTACCCACAATTTGCGAATGTTATTTGAATGGAGTTATAGGTTGACGTAATTAATGAATATTTGACTCAATTGTAACGATTGAGTATCTCCCGGGCTTGAGTTGAGTAGACAAATTGACTGAATAGAAAACAAATGTTCAGGTCATTTTATCGCTGAATCTACTTAAAACTTGTGAATTTTGCTAAATTCCTGCTAAAGCTTGAAATTTCATAATCCACTGTTGAAAAATTTGGCTGAATTTTTCGGAAAGAGATCTTGAAGTCGATTTGAGAGAAAACAGTCAATGGAATTTCAAGTTTCTGTGAAAATTCAAGTAAAAATGAATATTCACCGCGAAATTCTCTTGAATTTTCAGGGAATCTCTTTAACATTCTTGGAATTTCAGAATTTTTCCAAAGAATTCCTTGAAAATTTAGAGAAATCTGAGATTCACGGAAAGATTTCTCAGAATTCTCCTGATTTTTCGTTAATTTTCACGGAATAATTAAACTGAAACGTACAATTCCTGCGAATTTCTCCGTGACATTATGAATTTTTAATGACAACATTCTTTGAAATTTCAGTCTCTTTGTTTAACCCTAACATTCTGACCCTCATTCCTTTACCTTTACATTCAGGCCCTCAGTTTTGACTCTAATATTCCGACCCTCATTTTTTAACCTCCATTTTTTGACCCTTATATTCTCACACTGAGTGTCTGACCCTTATATTACACTTGAGAGCGCTTGGTACCACCGGCGCTGACACGAAATAATCATCCTCGAATTGAAACACCCATCCCCATTCAAATATAAAATATACTTGAATCAAGTATATTTTTTTCCGTACGCCGTTCGGCCCCTAAATTAAGTTCAATGTCTCGAAAACTCGCAATGCCCCATCAAATTTAAAACTTTTCCCACTATAAATTCACCGAAAATCATCATTAAAATCCTCTTTCCCTCCCAATCTCCCAACCTCTCCATTACCAATGAACATAAAAGTACCTTACAATTTTATTTCAATCAAGAAGCCCATTCTCCCCTCTAACTGCTGTCACGTGGAATTTACTAACCCCAATAAACGTTCACGTACCGTCGGTCCATCACTCCCTTACATATTAAGTAAAACCTGTCGACGATTAGCTCCGACTCAAATGCGCCATTCACCGTATCTCAGAAATTGCGTACCCGGGAAATAAACCCACAAGAGGTTGTGCTTTTCAGCCGAATGACTGTATATCACGTCGAAGCTATTTGTCTGGCTGATCTCCCCGCTAGAGGGGTCGGGGTTTCGTGATATATACAGTGTACTCAAATGAGGAGAGGGTCCTGTTGGAAAAGCAAGAAGGGGAAAAGGTGAATACAGTCGGACGGGGGTGAATAAGGGGTTGAGAGTACTAAAAAAATATAAATATAAGGAGTACTGCATGGGTCTGTAAGCGCGCTTGTATGAGATTCACAGGGTGGTCTCTATTATCGTGAATTTTCCTTCCGAAGTTATTGCCTGGTGGCTCCTGGAGGGCGGCGTCGCATTTTTCCCCAACCCCCATTCTCCCCCATTCTACTCTTTTTACTCTCACCTACCCTCCTGCCTTTCTGTACCCACCCCTCACCTTCCACTGTTTCTCCTTTGCCGGTTACCACTGTATACGCAAATGTGCGCTTGAACCAAAACGATAAATCAGAACTTCGGTGACTCTCCGCTCTCTCTCCGGTCTCCCCCATTCCCCAGATTGAGAATTTACGTGGTTTTGCCATTGGACGACAGTTTCCACCATGATTTTTCGAACTTACCGAGAACGAGAAAATAAGCGGTCCCCGTAAAAAAAAATTGAAAGTAGCTAAGAATGAGAGAGAGAGATGAGTGCAGAGAAATAACCGAAGATAAAATTGAAGAGATGGATCCATTAATGGTGGCGCATCATCGATTTCAATATTCCATACTTTTCCAACGTCTTCTGTCTTACCTCTCCAGAGTCTCATATATCTCCATGACAGATATCTCCCCTCCTCGAGTCATCCCTTTTTTTTCTCTCAACTTCCTCGGGTGGAAAAATTTTTTCAACCCCGATGAAGAACAGCAGAATCGGATTAAGAGAGAGAGCAGGTGGCGCCATATGGCGCTCGAGGGGTATTTCTTCCCAAGGCCCATCGATTTTAACAAACAAGAAATTTTTAAGTCAAGAAATCACAAAGTTAGATAGATTCAACGACACACTGGAGCCACCGGGTGACCCTTACCCACTCCCCTTACCTTCAATCCCGTCCCTTCCTCCCTCCCGGCAAAAAGCTCTGTTGAATGCTTTTTGCTAAACTGCTAGGTTGGGTGGCCCACACGGAGCTAATTCTTATGCGATCGTAAATAACGCCCCCGCATATATCAAAACTTACAACGACTCCTCTACCCACCTCCGCTGAGGCGTTCTTCGGCTCTATCATACCTTCTCCCTCCATTCCACCCGAGAAAATCTCGACTCCTCATCCAATTCCCCCCCTCCCCCTCCCTATCAACGTCTCTCGTTACAACCCCACAAAACGTGACTTCCAACTGGCCAGATTAAAGATACAATTCTCTTATTTTATTAATTAAGAAAGTTAATTACAACTGGAGAGTGGAGGGGGAGGGAAAATTCAATTTTTCTAATTGCCCATCGAATTATTTTTCCCTTCACCTCATCTACGATTTTTTGCTCTTACCATACATTCCCTCTCCTCTTTTTTTTATCTCGAGAAAACTTTTCCTCACTGATATCCGGCCCCTCGTTCCTTTTCCTTTATTCTCCCACGTTACTTTTTCTCAGCCTCGTTATCTCTGGACTGGTGGATGCTGCGCTCCTCCACTAAACCCCGTCGTTCTTACCGAGGGCATATTTTGTGCTCCCCCCCCCCTCCACCTCGCATCTTACCGCTCCCACCGCCAACCTCCATCTTCTCTATTTTTTGGGCCATCCCCAATTTGTTGGCCAGAGGAGGGCCGTTATACTCGGTCGCGTTGGCAAGTCCCTCCCGAAAGTTTTCAACACTATAGAACACTACAACTCCCGTCCCCTCCCCCAGATATTTATTTCAACTGGCTAGACAACACTCTCCAACCATCCGGTATTTATATGCAATCATAGAGAAGCGGTAGAACGTTCCTACACTGATAGAATGATTCATTTATTCCAAACGAAATTCGTTAACTATTAACGAATGAACATTTGGTGGGACCGAATAGACCCTAACCTCCAACCAAAATCCATTCGTTAACAATAACTAATCCGTTCTATCAGTGTACATGAAAAAGTTATAAATGCTTGCATAGAAGTGTGCTGACGTTGTTGTCCTCGTGGTAGAACTAGATGAGACCATTCACGCTGAGAGAAAAATTGGAAGTTCGATTTACAATAAGAAAATAGTTGAGGCGATTTGGTGAACGATACGATTTTTTTTGTATGCGGCACATAACATTATAGTAACTTCACAAGCGTAACTTTTGAAAATCAAAATGCAGTTAAACTAAGNAACCAAAATCCATTCGTTAACAATAACTAATCCGTTCTATCAGTGTACATGAAAAAGTTATAAATGCTTGCATAGAAGTGTGCTGACGCTGTTGTCCTCGTGGTAGAACTAGATGAGACCATTCACACTGAGAGAAAAATTGGAAGTTCGATTTACAATAAGAAAATAGTTGAGGCGATTTGGTGAACGATACGATTTTTTTTGTATGCGGCACATAACATTATAGTAACTTCACAAGCGTAACTTTTGAAAATCAAAATGCAGTTAAACTAAGCAAAGTTCAAACGTAACCACGACAAATCTATCGTGAGGAGAACTATAAAATAGTTGCAATGACTACATTCCATTGTAGTAATTACTTCTCCGGCATAGTTACGGTAACACATGAAAAATTGTTGAGGACTTTTTGACTATAATTCGATGGTGATGGAATACAGTCAGAAGAATTATATTTTTCTCTCAGTGCAGGGATGGCCATCAAAAAATAGTCAAATAATTGATAATCTAAAATTCCAATTGATGATGCATTGAATATTTAATAATATGGAACTATAAATTTTCTATTAAGTAAATATATATAGGTCCAATTATTCAACTCGGGTGATGTCTGAAAAAAAACATTCTGTGGACAGTTCAATACACTGAGAAAAAAAAATTTCTAATATATGAAACATATTTTCTTGAGAGAAGAAAATTATTTTCAATGGCTTAAATCTCAGAATGTGTGCACTTCACGGAACTCGAATAAATTTTCATTCATCACTATCGTTGCGCGTTACGGCATGAATATTTTACATATTGCAATATTGGAAGTGCATAACGAAAAAATCATAAAAACAATAAAGACTAGAAGATTGACGATTCTTCTACGCGATTTAAGTAAGTTCATTTGCGACAAAATCATACTTGGGTACAAGAATATTTTAAAGCATGAGGCCTTTCTCGGGTCATGTGAGTTGAGATGCCTAAGAGAATTAAGCAATTGAAGAAAATTTACTTGCCTCAAGAAAATATGTTTCAGATATTAGAAAATTCTTTTCTCACTGTAGTAATTTTTAATTTCCAAACATTCATTTCAATTGGGTTATAGACAACACTCTCCACCCCCGCTATTTATATACAATCACCAAGAAACCGTAGAAAATTCTCTTTCCTACATAAAAGAGTTATAAATGCTTACATAAAAGTGCCTATAAAGGCAAGAGTAAATTGGATAGGCGTTTCGGCAGCACAGAAGTATAAAAATCGATTTTCTCTTACTCAATTTTCCACGTGAATCACGATATTCCCTCGTTATTTCCCCCCCCCCCCTCCCTACTATGGTTTCCATCCTGCACTGGGGAATTCCGATCGTGCCTCAAGAAATTTTTCCAACTTCAATAGAAGAAATGAGAAAAAAAAGAATTGAGAGACCCAACAGGATCACAAGAGTAACGGGATGAAGAGTAAGCGGGGGGAGGGGGATGGCAACAAACCGCATTCGGTTTGCAATTCTTTGGTTTTTCAACTGGTCTTCCTATTCCATTTGACCATTGTCCCGCCGGGCTTGGAGGGAGTTGCTAGCTAGGGTGACGGTGGAGGGTGGGTGGCTCGATCGTCTTGAACGGCAAATTCTATCGCGATTCGCACGCCCCGGAGGTATACATATACACCGCTCAACTGGGGAACTTTAACCTCCTTTCCAGATCCTCCAGCGTTATTCCCCCCCGGCCCCCCTCCCTTTTTCCTTCTGCCTTCTCCTTTTCAGTCGTGACTTTGGCTTTTCCTCCGTGACTCCACCGGGACTAGAAGGAGTTGCGCATTAGTGTAATTGCTTGACCCCCCGCGTCCCGATGCACTACCGGTGAAGAATTCACCATTGTTCGTTTCACTTTGATCCTCCAGTTGGTCCACAATATTATCTGTTATTCCGGGGGAAACTCTGGATAATACCGTTACTCCTCGATTTGCCAATCGTTTTATCCCTCTAGTTGAATTTATTTTGTTGAAGGGGAAAGTTGTTCTGTTACGATTTTTAACTTCCCTACCCGAAGGGAGAAAGTTATTGTAATGACCTCGAAAATGAAGTGTTGAATTTCGATGATTTTTCCACGTTTGATGACCTCTCGAGTCGTTGCAAGACGTCAATGTTTTGGAAGACATGTCTGCACTAATAGAAAGGATTAGTTATTTGTAACAAATGGATTTGGTTGAAGTCTAGAGACTATTCGGTCTCACCAAATGTTCATTCGTTAATAGTTAACGAATCTCGTTTGAAATAAATGAATCTGTCGATCAGTGTGTGTGTCTGCGTGCGTACACGGAGAAAAATTACCAAACAAGTCAAGTAATCGTGGAGTAACCTCGATTCCCAGTACTTTTTCATCTTAAGTAGGAGAACACGTGCGAAATTAATAGTGAATTTTACTGCGTTGCTCCGGGAAAAAATTCTAAATGTGAGGGTGAATTGTACCGATACTGGAAAATTTACCCTGCATCCTATTAAAAATTATCCTAGTGAACGTGAAGAATTGCTCCAATTTTTTGTATAATTTTTCTATAACGATTTTTACCAAAACAAACAATCTCTTGCCGGTGTGGGAAATTTTACTAAACAGGAGGATAATTTTTGCATCCATAGATGCATTTTAATAAAATCGTAAAATATCCACTATAAACCAGTATTTTTTTACTGAATTACATTTCGCTCCACACTTACCATTCGTATAGTGAAATTTGTCACGATTTTCGAGGTAATTTATATCCAACTTTTTTCTCCGCGTATGTATGTATGCGACCGAAATTTTGTCCAACGATTTCTCCTGAACCAATGAACCGATTCAACTTTTTTTAATCGATGCATCTTCATGTAACTTAGGACTGATTAGATGGCGTAAACGATCGCCTCACCGGTGTTGTTAGTTATTTGCATAAAATTGGTAAAAAACCGTAGAAAAGTCACGATTTTATCTGAGATAACAATGGCACATGAATTAATTTTGTGTAATCAATGCGTCTTCACATAATTCGATGCTAATTGAATGTTGAGCGGAATCGTCTCAGCGGTTGTTCAGTCATTTGGATGAAACTTTCAAAATTTACATTTTTTATAACCAACAAAAGAAAGGGAATCCATTCGATCCATAATGGGTCACACTAAATTCCATCAAAACCTACCGGTCACACCCCAACCCGGGAGCGAGCGAAGCGAGCGAACGGCACTCATTCTTGTATTTTTTTGTTTCAGGCGAGTACACGGAGGCCATGCAGCGAGATGCGGAGTACGTTTCGTCGGGATGTGAATTGAATGAAGAGCATGGTGTACTGCTTCTGTTTGTGGGGATTATGACATTGCGAAATTTCGGGAAGTATCTTGCGCCGGGAGGGTTCTCAGTATTCTTTGGTTATTGAGGAGGAGTGTGGACTTGGTGATGAGACATTTCGCGGGAAGAGTGATCAGGTTTGAATTTTTCAACGCACTCGTTGGGAAATTTATTATTACTTCAAGAGAAGAAAATATAATTTCATTCCAACTGGAGGAATCGCCATAAGGATTTGTGTACAAGAAATTACTTTGATTGTTAATCGCTTTGCTCTAATAACCACGATGAATGTCCAATAAAAATTTCAAATCAGTGTCATCATAATTTAAATCAAATAAATGGGGTTTCCCAAAACTTAAAGTCGTTTTGTTTTCCGAAATTTATTCACATGAAATGCATTTTTTTAAATGCAAACAAATTATCCCTTGATCTAAATAGAGTCTATTAGGTACATTGAGCGGAAAAATTTGCTCCGCCGGAAAACTATGGGCTCCATGCGAGACTATTTGATGCAGTGGAACAGATTTACTTGCGGGAAATTAACGAACTTGATAGACGAAAATTTAATATCTTTCACAAAAATGCATTTTTGTCTCGACCATCAGAAATGTCCTTAGAAGAACTCGAACTGTTGACAGGAAAAAAAGTGATTTATTATATGATAATCATTTGATCTGAGGCAGCGATAGGTTTATACCATCGAAAGAATATATTAACGAGAAAAAAATATTATTTTCCAAAAAAACTGTCCCCCCGAAATTATTTAGTTTCTCCAATAACACAGTTTTCGGAAAGAAAATTGTAGTTTCCTCTCGAAATTATCATTCGTTTCATGGAAATTATAAGTGTTTATTGGACCCAGATATGCACTACTCAATAACATTCACTTGATAAAACCTGAGCCTCATAATTCTCTGCAAAACGAATATATTTATCCGAAAGACATGTAAATGTCTCATAAGAACAATTACTGCTAAGAAAATTACCATGTTTTGATGGAAAGTTTCTTTTTTGTCCACAATAAAATTGATTCATATAATTCTGCGGTAAAGAAGCTGTATAAATTATTTATCGCACATAATTAAAGAATTCATAGTCAAATAAATACACGAGTGCACTCATTTCTAACTAAAGGAATTTTTAAAAACACATAAAAATTTAAAAAATCATATTCGTTTGATTTAAATGTGGGATCTATCTGGATGGGAAAGGTAATATATTTGGCTCAAGAAATGAGTTTCTCTTACGAGAGTACTAGCAAGCATTTCATTCCTCCATACAAGCCTGATGAAAAACTTAAATTTCCCGGATCACTTTCCACCTAAAGTCTCATCAAAATAATCACGCTGTAGGAAGTAGAGCGAGCGTGACAGTTGAGAAAAATATTGTGGACTGAAACGTGAGGTCTGAACTTCCTTTGCCATCTGAGGTATTTGCCATTTAATGTTTCCAGTGGATAATTTGAGTAAATATGGGTTATACAAATAATGAAGAAGTGAAAAACGAATGTGGAAATGTAATAACCCGTCGAGTGCAGCTGGACATGATTAAACAGTCCCAGAAGCCTGAATGTTTAATTACTCTCTAGGAAGCAGAGCGAGCGTGACAGTTGATCAAAATTTTGTGGACTAAAACGTGAGATATGAAGTAATTATCCGATCTGAGATGTTTGTCATTCACTATTCCCTGTGGATAATTTGAATAAATATGAGTTTTATAAATAATAAAAATGTGAATCCGAAATGTAGAGGGTAATAATCCCCAAGTGCAGCTGGACACGATTAAACAAATTCAGGTTAAATACTGAGTTCAATTACTCTTCATTTTTTTCATCCTCATTCATTCTATTTTACCTTTCTCTCTATGATACGAGCAAAATGACAACCCTATCATAAATATTTCTCGGACTCCGCGGAGCGGGGAGATTTATTGAGATCAAAGTGCTCCACCAAGTACATCAAAGAGACCACTCCTACTGGAAAAGCAATTTTACGTTATGTCGACTGAGTCTGGCTATAATCTGCTTACTTTCACATTTTATATCCTCACCCCTCTGTACCTATTTTACAAATCAAACCTGACTGGGGCAATTTCATTCTTTCTTTGTCTCCTATCGTCTTGTTCATTTTTTAAAAGAGGGAGGCAGCTCAATTTCTCACTGACTAATCATGAAAAATTCCTCCACCTCTTTGTGCACTCTCGTGGATAATCAAATTAAGAGATGGATTAAAGGTTAAATTCGATTAAGACGATAGAGGATGAATATCTTCTCGGCATTCTTGTTCGGGAGATGGTTTTCAGGGAGTGATGGTATTCTGTAGTTTATGGATTGTGAAGTAATGGTGAACGGTTTTTGAATTGTCTTGCTTTTGCCTTCTTCAAAGCTGATGGATAGATAAGTAGAATAAATGGAGAGAAATACAGTCTACGTTGAAAAATTAATGTTGAAATTGAAGTGAAAACTCTTGAAATGGTCAGCGATCACTGATCAACTTGAATAATTTGTGGATTATTTAATACAATTCAGTAGCGAAGTGGTAATACCGTTTACGTCGACTTATCTCTTAGTTGAGTTCTTGGAGAATATCTCCGAATCTAAAGGAGATAATGAAATTTTCGTAATAACCTTTTTCCTAGAGCGAAGTGAGCGCTACAAAAAAGATTATGACGAAAATTTAGCTATCTCCCTTAGATTCTGAGGTATTCACTAAAAACTGGCCAATAGTCAAAATCGACTTCAACCGTTTTACCACTTCGCTACTGAATTAAAATTCTCACAATTGTTCGCGATTGCTAATAATAACCGCGCTAACACTTGAAGGCAATCACGTGAACCTCGAAATTCACGGTGATCGCCCGATCAGCGGGTCAGGGTGCCGAATTAGGCAGGTACCGTTTGGACTCTGAGACTGTTCATCGTAGCTCCGTGAATGAAATTATACTCGCGTTGATTTAGTACCTCAAGTGTATACAACTTGAGCTGTGCAATTGAATATCGTTTGTGTTAATTGGTGTTTAATTAGTTCTCCCAATCCCGGCACCTCGTGATTAACAATCCGCGGAAACAAATAATTCAGACTCTAAAGGCAATCGTGAACAATAATGAATTGTAATAGCTAAACTGTCATTGGCACAATTTCATTGACCCTCCGAAATAAATAAGTGATTCCGTGAATAATTATTTTTTGATTTTATAAGCAAATGATAGCAAACAGGAGTCATGGAGAAACATAATCAACGTTGGAAGATTACTTTTGAAATGTCAACACAAAACCCAAAAAGTAGTTTGCAATGTTCGATATAAAACCTTGCTGCTCAACGTGTGATACCAAATACTGCATTCCGATTGATCGTAATCCGTTCTCGGAGAATAGTCATTAAATAAACTCTATTTTAATCCAATAGATGGGTTATCAAAATTTAAAACAGATTTTTATTTGCTTTTTTATCTGCATTAAATAGATTTTTTTTATATGAACAAATGTTTCCTCGATCCACATAAGAGCCATTAATGCGAAATAAAATTGTTTAATGTATAATAGTGCTTCATTTAGAGAATTTTCATTGAATAAATGAGTTTATTGATTGACAAAAATATTATTGAAATGAACAGAAAAAAATCGAATCTAGAGTTCCACTGAATTTAAAGGAGTTACTTCTCTGGGTGTGCACCATGAAGGAAATATTCTTCATAAGAACACCAGCGCTGGTGCTTATTACCTATTTTGATAAAACCAGGAAACAATTTGCTGTAATTGTCGTAGATACGACGAAGGTCGCGTAATTGTTCGTTATCAATATTCCGAGTCGCCAAGTAGAGAACAAGCTCATAAAGGAAGTGGCGTTTCTCGAAATAATAGCAGAGTTATAAACAAACGCAAATATGAAGACGCTGGGAATTTTCATAATTGCCTTCGTGATAAGTGCTGTCTGGTCCAGTACAAAAGTGAGGTGCAGTGTTAGAAATTTTTTGAAATTTCACGGGAAATATGGTAGTATTTTTTATGAGAGCGACATTGTATCCGATTCAGCGGGAAAATGGTTATGAAATTTCAAGTTTAAGGTGGAATTCAAGGAAATTCATGAGTTTTCAGTGGAAGTGTGACGGAAATTTAACAACTTGATTGAATTTTCAATGGAACTTGAATATTCGGGAACAAAATTCAGGAAATTTCAATTTTTCCTGAATTTTCAGGGCTGCCCACGAGACTCAAAAGAGACTTCACTTTGAAGGGATCAAAAGAGGCAGTATCGGCTTTTCTCGTGATGACTCACAGTCAATTTATCTCATCTCGGCCTCAAGTTTCTCGTGTTTCTTCAATGAGACAGGTATCAGTCTTGGTCGTCTCGTCTCAGTCTTTTAAACATGAAAAACGTGAAGAACTTGAAAACGAGATGAGATAAATTAACTGTGAGTCATCACGAGAAAAGCCGATACTGTCTCTTTTGAAATTGTGATGATACCGAAAGTTTCCGTGATCACCAACATCAAGATGATCCCTCCAAAGTGAAGTCTCGTTTGAGTCGCGTAGGCAACCTTATGAATTTTCCTCATTTTTCTGAATTTTCACCGAATAGTTGAACTGAGATATCAAGGATTTGATTGATTTTCACATCATTCGAACAGAAAATCAATGGAATACTTGACTTTTCAATTACAAGATTTTCTGAAATTTCAGTGGAAATTAAATGTGATGAAAATTTCTGGAATTTGACACGGAACATTCAGACGAAAATTTTTAACAGTGTGATATTGTACAAGTACAATCAAAATTATTTTTTATTCTAACAACAGAAAATTGATGTTGAAATTATCCCTAAATTTTGAGGCAGATGACGAGGACAAGGGCAAAGACCCGGAACTTGTAAAACTCGAAAATCAAGTTCAACAGGACATTGATCCCATGGTGGATGAACGAATTTATAATCTGCAGCAGCAACTTGATCAAACGGAGGCTCAGAATCCTGGGAACCCGGATGACTAACTTGTTGATCAGAAAGGTCCTCAGAATTTAGACATATCAGAAGTTATCAGAATATGATTGTTAGAAATAATTAAACTTCAAGTTGAGAACAATATCTTTATATTCGACGAGAACTAATACAGTAAATATTTCAATCTATGCACATCCGTGTCCTTGCCAGGAATGTCCCTCATCCCTCCGGCTATCACTTTGTAGCCTCTCCCCAGGTCAGTTCGTCGCCTCGGAGGGGTGGGGGTAGGGCCCACATAGCTCACTACATAGTGTTGCCTCGTGACGTCGGTGTCGTCGCTAGGCAACTAGTGGTTCCTTCCACCGATGTTGTTACGATTTTCCACATGATTTACAAATA